CAGCACAGAGCCCGACGCGGGGCTCGAACCCACGAACCCCGAGATCATGACCTGAGCGAAAGTCGGACGCTTAACCGACTAAGCCACCCAGGCGCCCCAATGTTTGTTTTTGAGAGAGAGCACGTGCTCACCTGGGGGGAGGGGCAGAGAGAGGGAGACAGAATCCCACACAGGCTCTGAGCTGGCTGGCAGCACAGAGCCTGACGCGGGGCTCAAACTCACAAACAGGGAGATCACGACCTGAGCGTGAGCGAGACGCTCACCCGACCGGGCCACCCAGGCGCCCGTGTCAGTTGCTTTAACCAAACGTCACACAACCTCTCGGAGGGCCGGGCAGACCAGCTACTTTGGTGTCTGGCGCTGCCAGCGGGCAGATGCTTCCCACCGAGGGCCCGGCTGCACTGGACTCCTGCGCTCCAGGGGTGCGCGCAGCTGCTGGGCCGGAAGCCTCGCCTCCCACCCGTGTGCAGACAACCCCTGGCTCTCGGGCCCACCTGCTGCAAGCCAGGGGCCTCCCGCGAGTCAGAAATGGAGGCCGAGCTTTCTGCTCTGCTCCTGTGCTTCGGCTCCGGCCCTGCACACGTTCTCAACCTTCCCCCAGGCTCCGCCCCACATGCTCCAGGGGTGTCACAACTCACCTCACAGTGGTGGCGTTTTGTGCAAGGACGGCTGTCCTAATGTCGAGTCCCCAATACTTCCAGGATTGAAAGTCCTTGTTCTGAATTTCTGCCGTGAGCCTGTTGTGAGTCACTCGTGCGTACGGAAGAAAGGGGGCAAGCAGATGACGAAAAGGGCAGGGAAGGAAGCAGAGGGGGGTCGGGCCGTTCGCTGGAAGTAAGATGAAGCCTGAGTAACAAGAATATACAACCTACTAGATTGTCAGAGATCGTATTTTTATAACACTTGAACTTGGCAAAAGTAAGAAGACGTGAGCTCTCCTGTGGGAGCTAACGCAAACCTTTTAGGAGGGAAACGGCATACTCACTGACCTGATCAGTGGGGAAACTGTGTTCGTACTTATAGCAGATACTAGAAAAAACAATGGTTTAGATAGCATAAAAGTTTATTTCTCTGCCTCATTAAAACAAACAAGAAAGGTACTGAAGTGTGAAAGACCACGTGGCAGCTCCTTGGTGTCGTCATGAAGCCAGGCTCGCGCTCTCCGTTCCACTATTCTCACAAAGTACCTCTGAGGTGCCTCCTACTCCAAAAGAGCTGGCAGAGCTCCAGCCATCACACCCATATTCCAGACCACAGAAAGGAGAATTGGAGAGAGGGGAGAGGTCAGAAGACACTCCCGCGGTCAGTCCCTCCGCAAGGGCCATCCCCAGAAGTCCCCCACAACCAAGTTTCACCTCCAAACCAGTCACGTGGCCACACTGGGCAAGTGATGGGAAATACGGTCTTTTAACTGGGCTGCAACTCTGAAGACAAGGGAAGTCGCAAACTAGGAAGTGGGGGAAGGCGACCAGCAGTCTCTCCGGCACTCAGTCGTCACCCCAGGCGCTCGTGCACAGGGGCGCCGGGGCCAAGAGGCACCGCCCGTCACAGCAAAATAAACATCCACCCGAGGGGCTCAACAACTTGCCACGCTCCTCAGTGAGATTCTAGGCAGAGGGTACAAAAGGATGTCCTAAAAATGGACAAAACATATCGTTTAAAAAGCAAGTCGCAGGGGCGCCTGGGAGGCTGTCGGTAAGCATCCGACTCGGTTTCGACTCAGGTCATGATCTTGTGATTCCAGGGGTCAAGCCCCACGTGGGGTGCGCTCTCTGCCCCTCCCCCGCTCATGCGGTCTCTGTGTCTCCCAAAATAAACAAACTGAAAAAATGAAAATAAAGAGCAAGGTGCCAGGGCACCTGGGTGGCTTAGTTGGTTAAGCGTCCAACTTTCGCTTAGGTCATGATCTCATGGTTCGTGGGTTCGAGCCCCGCGTCGGGCTCTGTGCTGACTGCCAGCTCAGAGCCTGGAGCCTGTTTCAGAGTCTGTGTCTCCCTCTCTCTCTGACCCTCCCCTGCTCACGCTGTCTCTCTCTCTCTCCTAGAAATAAATAAAAAAACATTAAAAAAATAAATAAAGAGCAAGGTGCCTAAGGCAAAGCGCAGTGTGAGCCTCTGTGTATGTAAAAAACTTACTTGTCCTACACATCTGCTTGTGTGCAGAGATTTTCCCTTTAAATCCCCACACAGCACTGACAGATCACCTCCAGGGCGTCAGGGAGAGGACGGGGTGGGGACGAGGCTTCGTTTTCCACGATGGACCCTGCGGCCCTGTCTGCGTGGTTCCTGACATGACCCCAAAGCTGTGACACAATGAAACGTGGACTCAACACCAGCAACAGGAAGACCAGCGAGAGAAAGGCCGCCATCTGCACGCAGCCTCGAGGGCCGTCCGGCTCCCCTTCCCTCCACCCGGGTCTATAGGAACCCGCCTCCTCCGGCAACAAGACTCAGAAGCAACTTCAGAACAGATTTGGGGGGGGGAGGGGCAGAGCTAGAAAGATGTACTTACAAAATAGTCTGGATTAAAAACGTAAGGTGTGTCTGTTAACCAGCGAACGAAACAGGTCTTGGGGAGTCGGTCTGCAGACCGAACCACCCCCGGGACTCACAAACGCCCCCCCCCCAGGGCTCACAAGCCCCTCCTCACCCCCCTGCAGGGCTCACAAGTGTGTGTTGCCCTTGCGGGGGGGCGGGGGGAAGGTCACTGCTCTGCAGGCAGCGGCGAGCAGCCTTCCGGAAGCAGCCTCCGCACAGCACGCGCTCCACGAACAGTTCACCCCACGCAGGTGTGAGGAGGACCCGGTGGGCGCCAGCCGCTGGAGACACGTGTGCCTCTAACACGGAGGCCGCGGTCCGGGCGGAGACGGCGCCCAGGCCCCCATTCAGGAAAGACAGCGTGGATTCCAGTTACACGGGGAGCCCAGAACGGGGAGATCCAGAGAGGAAGGGAGTGGGCGCCTGGGGGGGGGGGGCGGGGGGTGACCGCCAATGGGCATAGGGTCTCTCTCTGGACGACGGGGGGGGGGTCTAACACGTGGCTCGCAAACCTGAACACACTGAGAACCACCCAACTGCGTGCCTGAAGTGGGGACTCATGGGATCTGTGACTTGTGTCTCAATAAAGTGGTTTTAAAAATCATACAAGGGCCCCTGACTGGTTCCGTCGGCAGGACGTGGGCCTCTTGATCTCGAGTTTGAGCCCAACTACTGGATGTAGAGATTACTTAAAAATAAAATCTTTTTTAAAAAATCATACGACAGGCTAGAAGTGCTGTCTGCTATGATTAAGAAGGCAAAGGGGTGGGGGCTGGTTTGGGGGAGACCCACAGCCTTAAGTAGACTGTGAGGGAGCACTGGCTGGGGGTGAGGGAGGGAGCCTGTGGGCACCGGCCACTGGCGGAAGGAAGGGTCCCAAGTGCAAAGGCCCTGAGGCAGCGACCTGCTGCCTCAACAGAAGGGAGGACGGGATGGGCCATCCGCCTCGGGACCCTTGGTGACCACCGCAGCCTGACTCCCAGGAACTGTGAGTCAAACAGGAACTGCTCCGGGGCTCACAGTCCCCAGGAAGGACGTGAATTCATGCTGGAAACATCTGCAGAGTGGGGGAGGTCGGGGCCCGGGCTGGGAGGTACCGGCAGGGGTCAGAGCCGACAGGACTTGCCAGCAGACGGGCCAGCGGGGAGAAGGAAGGAGCCAGGCTGACTCCAAAGCTGTAGGCGTCAGCAAGGGAGGGACAGAGCTGCCTTTGCGGGGACCAGGGTCCGCGGCAGGGGAGGCGTGGGGGCCACACCGGAGTCCACCGCACGGGGGACAAGAAGCCGGCCAGGCACCCGGACAGGGAGGCCTGGCCTGCAGGGTCATCCCCGAGAGGGGGCCTGCACGCTGGGGCACCCGGTGCTTAGTGGCCCGGAGGAGACAGTATCTCACATCAAGACCCAGAAGGGACAGGAGAACAGGGGTCCCGGGCGCAGCCGCTGAGGACGTTCCCAGGACAGGTGTGGCGGCGGGAGGCTGGGGGCGTCTCAGGCAAGAGCAGCTCCGCCCCCGGTGGCCCCTGAGGGGGTGTCCGTAGCGTGGGGCGGGCGCACCAGGAAACAGGACACAGCAGCCACTGTCCATCAGCAGACAAACGGATGGACGCGGTCCGTCTGCAGCCTGGACTGGCACCGCCCTGACGAGGAGGGACGCTCTGACACCTGCCACGACCTGACTGGGCCCGGGGGACGTGACGCTGAGGGAAACAGCCCCAGGACAGGCCCCGTGTGACCATGGGCTGTGGGCGACACCAGCTCCCGGAAAAAGGAAGACGGCGTGCATCGGGATGGCCTGTCTGCGTGGCCCGGCCCCCAGTCTTCCGCGGCAGTGACCCGAAGCCCTGTTCTATCACACAAGACGCCCACAAGGAGAGGCCTGCCCATGGCCGTGGCCTCTGGGGGGCTAGGTGCACAGACAGCACACAGCCCCCCACACCATCTGGGGGGGCCATCCACGCCTCGGGTCCCGCCAGCCTCCACGCGGCCTGTGTTCGCCGGCGGCCTCTAGGCTACCCCGTCCAGCGGTCGGCTCAGGGCAGCCCCGGGCACGAGGCCTCCGCGCCCACGGCTCCTCTGCTCAGGAATGCTGTTCCCTCGGACCCTGATTTACCACGCCCCAAAGGAAAGTGGCATCTGAGCCAAACACCCAGCTCGGGGCTTCAGAACTGGAGCTCGAAACTGATTTTGAAAAGAATGTTTTCTATTTTACTTAGACTCCTTGTCCAAAAATATCAGAGCCTAAATACGTTTCCCTCCTAAAAAATGCCTTTTAAGGAGCTTGGGTCTGAAAGGGGGAACCCTCAGTTGGTCTGGGGTAGAGAAATCACAGGTATGACCCAGCGGGGGCAGGGAGCCAGCTTAAGGGACCAAATCCCAAAAGTAAATCAGCAAGCGAGTGGATCCAAAAAACTTTATTTTGAATATTTAATTAAAAAAAAAAACCATACCTATGCCGTGTGCTACAGAAACGTGGATACAATAATTGCATATAAAACCCGACCTACTGGTGGCAAAGCAAGGACTACACAGAAATGCACCGCAGGAAGGAGACGCCAACGTCCCGAACTCCCAAGTCCCCTCCCCAGATCTGGAAAGACACTGCCCGGCCCCCCGAGGGCGACGGGCCCCCGAGCAGCGTCCGCAGGGGCACCTGGCCGGGAGCACCCCCTCTCCGCTCCACTTCTTAGCCGAGCCTGCCAACCCCCCATTCTACTGTCCTCAGACACAGTGTTTTGGCACAAACGCAGGGGCGCCTCAGCGGGAAGAACGTCTCTGGCAGTTTACGGCAGAGAAGGCGCCCGCCTTCCCGCAGCGGGGTGGCCGTCGTCTCACGCGGCACAGAGCCACGTGCGGCCAGTGGAGGCCCTCCGGTGACTGCTGGGGACACTGCTTGGCGGGTACCCAGTCGGGGGGGGGTGGGAGGGACCGGGGGGGTCCCCCAACACACAGTGCCCCCACCTGGAGACACAGCAGCCACCGGCCTCCCCTCCCCTCGGCCCTGACCCGCCCTGGGGTCTCCCTCTTCCTGGGACGGCGACTCCCACCTGACACCCACGCGACCGCATCTGTCAAGGGCCCCAAATGCTGCCGCCAGGGCAAGGACACCGTCGCGCACTCAGGAGAACCGACAGTCGCCAAAGTGGCTCCAAGTGACAGTCAATTTGGCAAAAAAAAAGATAAAAGAAAATACCTTGAATGCATAAAATCAATGACCAAAGTCCTCCTAAGGAACGTGATTACAATATATTAGCAAATTCTGGGGCATAAACCTTTTCAGAAGCATCAGCAGAAGTATTAAATATAAAAGCAGTACGTACGCGGCCCTCCCGCCCGCGGACCCACGGAAGGCGGACGCAGGGCGACGCGGGGCGCGAGGCGGGCGGGCCTACTGCCGCAGCTCCACGTAGTTGGCTGGGAAGAGCCCGTACCTGCCCTTACACAGCCCCCGCCACCAGCCGTCATCGATCATCTCTATGTTGGTGATGATGTCGTCGGGGTCAAAGGAGATCTCGTCGTCGCCCGCTGGGAAAGAGGACGCAGAGAAAGGACGGTGAGGTCCGGGGCCTCTGGGCCGGGCTCCCCGGGCTCCGGCTTCTGCCGTCCTCCCACCACAGAGGGGACTTTCTCGGGGCGCAGAGGGGAGCCCGGCCAGCAGCCCGAGGAGGCGGGCAAGGCGGCCAGCACCCGGGTACACCCAGCCGGTCGTACGCGTTATAGATGCCCAATTTCACAGAACCCGCACCGAGGACACGAGTGCGTGGGCTCATTCGTCAACCACGGGGGCAGAACGCTCCCCAGGGACAGGGAGGGGGCAGGAAGTGCTCCGTGGCCACCCTGTCATAGGAGCGTGGCCTCAGGCGGGCCGGGGTCCCCCAGGAGGAGAGGCTGTGGAGGGGCGCACGGGGCCCGCACAGCCGGGAAAACGCGGCCCATCCGCAGGCGTGCTGGTGTCTCCGTACCGACTGGCTCACTGGGGGTGGGGGTGCCTTCAGTCCGGGCAGCACCCTCGGTTTTGGGGAATTCACACCGGGGTGTCCGGGGGCACAGGCACCCCTGCGGCCATGGGCAACGGGAGGTTCGGGAAGGCGTAGAAACGCAGAGAGAGAGCGTTTCTGTTACTGTGAGACTACCCCAAGCTTTTTAAACATCGTGACAACGCGCTCAGGGTCAAACGCCCAGAGCTGAACGGCTGCGGAAATGAACGCCAAGTGGGCACATGGGTGTCTCACCAGCCTGGTAGTCGTAGAGGGCGACGGCCGTGATCCCAAGGTCATTTTCGTATTCGTCGTAGGTGTTTTCTTCTAAAAATAAACCAAGACAAGAGCTGAGGAATCACTGGAGCGCCGCGGAGCCACTCAGCCACTTTAACGTCCTGGCCGCCAGCACCTGCGGGGCGGGGAGGGCCGTGCGGGGCGCCGGGCTCGACGCAGGACGCAGGACTCTAGCTTCTGGGGAGCAAGCCCACCCTTCCCAGGGCCGACACCACCGGCGTGCCCTGACTGCTCTCAGAGACAGGATTTCAGAATTTTAAAGATCTAGTTCTTCCAGAAAAGGTCACATCACGGTAAGAGGCTGGCAAGCAGCGGGGCACCTGCCCCAATGCGCCGCGGCACAGTCGGGGAGAAGGTTAAGGTTCCGTCCTGAGACGTGATCTCTGACGGATTCAGGTGGAATCTGTCCCGACGCGCTGACAGAAACCTCATCTTTAGAGATAAGAGACCAATTTCCGTGTTCATCCCACTGAAGCTTCGAGAAAGCCTTCAGGGCTAATGGAAATCATCCCTAAAAACCTCACGACACTGCAGCTTCCTGGTGCCAGGCTGTCACGAGCTGCCACTCTGCAAAGAGAACAGCAGAGGCCCCTCCTTCACACCCATGGCCGCTGGCCCCCCGGAGGAGCAGGGCCGTCTGGAACCAGGGGGTCTGGCGCCCTCCCGGCAGGGCAGGGACACCCCACAAGCACGGGGAAGGAGAAGGTCGAGCAAGAGGGTGACGGGTGTTTTCACAAAGCGGCAGGTGCCCCTGCACCCATACCTGCTTGGTACTGGCCCGGGGCCTCCGCGGCCTCGTACGTGGCGTCCGGGGCGTAGGTCAGGCCCTGCTGGCCACCAGCCTCGCGGTAGTCGGCGGCTTCCCTGCTGTACACGGGCTCGGGCTCAGCCTTGAAGGAGACCGCGTCCTGGGGAAGGGAAGGGTCAAGGAGAGGTGCCCTGAGGCAGGTGCCGGGTCACCGACACACGACAGTGGCCAGTGGGTGTGGCAGCGCGGACGAGGCCTTGCCCCCCAGCGTTCTGCGAGTGCTTGGACGTGAAGAGGACCACGTGCCTGTCCTGCTGAACGACCCCCCGTCCCAGGCCCCGACACCCTGAAGTCCTGCAGGGACCAACCCCGCCCGGCCCGAGCGCGGCCGTGCTGACGCCTGGGGCAGGTGCGGGCCATTTCTAAAGCTTGCCGGGGCCCTGCCAGCCTTGCCGTGCCTCTGATGGCAGCTCCAGAGTGCGCGCGGGGCTGCCCGGGGCAGCCGCACCCCAGGCGGCCGGGTTCAAGCCCACACGAATCCCCCGGGGGGAGGTAAGATGACCAGCAAGTGATGAAATCACCCCCAGCCCTGGCGGAAGGAGCTTTGGTCAGTATTTCCAACCAGGGCCGCCCTGAAGGCACCCTCGGGGGCCAGAGAGAGCACAGCAGAGGCTCCAGAAAGAACCAGGGGCCACAGCTGCCGGCTGTCAGTGGCAGACTACCATCGCGGTTTGGGGGGCCTGCAACGGCCACCGCGGAGGCCACGGACAGGGGACCCCGCTCCGGCCGGGCTGGAGCCGCTCCAGGGTGACCTGCAAGGGAGCAGCAGGGCCTCCTCTGGGCGAGCCTGTCCTGGACGTGCAGGGGCCGCGCCGGAGGGCTCAGGGCCGGGTCCTGGTGTGTGGGCGCCCTGCTCCCTCTCACACCACGTGGCGCTGGCAGGGCTGCCAGTCACAGGGCCCATGTGTCCTCACGCTTGGGACAGCAGGTCACACTCGTTTTCTCAAAGGACCGACTCCTCAGTGACTCTGGCCAAGCAGGCGAAGGCGGCCTGAAGCCCCCGTGCCGCTGGGTTAGGAGCCACAAGGCCGGGCTGTGCTGCCTGCAAGTCCGGGGGGCCCGGCTGCCATGCAGGGGGTGCAGCAGCCTGGAGGGGGCCCTGGTGACAGCGTGACCCCGGATGGCTCACCCCCTCACATCTCAGCTGAGCTGCGGTACGTTCTGCTCCTCACGCCCCGGTGGCCTCTGGCCCTCCCGGTGGGAAGCAGGGCAGTGGCCGTGGGAACGGGGGGGATGGGGTGCAGGGCTCGGCCAGGAGCGGTCATGGAGCCAGGGGCAGGGCAGCGCCCGAGAGTGACTCAGAGTCCCAGGTCCTGGGTCACAAAGCACTGATGACGGGACTGAGGATTAAGGGCCAGGACGGTCTGCAGGGAGCACGATGTTCAAGAGGGGCTGAGGGGGGCGCCGGGGGCTCCGTCGGTTAAGCGTCCGACTTCGGCTCAGGTCACGATCGCAGGGTTCGTGGGTCCGAGCCCCGCATCAGGCTCTGTGCTGACAGCTTGGAGCCTGGAGCTGTTTCCGATTCTGTGTCTCCCTCTCTATGACCCCCCTCCCCCGCTCACGCTGTGTCTCTCTCTCTCAAAAATAAATATAACGTTAAAAAATTTAAAACAACAAAAAAAGAGGGCCTGAGGGAAGGAGGGCCGGGAGGGCAGCAGCAGGTGCCGGGAGACGGGCTTCTAGAAGGGAGGGAGAGCTGGCCAGCGACAGATGCGGTGGAGAGTGAGTGACAGAAGACCAGACCGGCGTACGTGGTACCAGGACACCTCACGGGGGCGGTGGGCCGGCTGAGGGGGGCCCCGCACGTGCACTGTGCCCCCCACCCCAGGCCGCCCCCCGGCTCAGGCACCAAGTGCGGTGTGTGGGGACCCCGCCCCCCCGTGCACGGTGGCTGCGGCGTGGGGAGGGCATCTCTGCAGAGACAGAGGCTCATTTGCAAACTGAACGAAAACACCAACCTCGTAGACGGGGCTTGAAGGCGGCCTCTCCTCGGCCGGCTGAGGGGTGGGAGACGCAGGCGGGCTCTGCTTTTGGGCCTCGGCCTGGGCCTGGGCCTGTGATCAAGAGACAAGGAGATCGTCACCAGGCCGCCCAACGCCAGGACTTACCAGAGAAAGGCCAGAGCCAAGCTCGCCCGACAGCAAAGCGCAAGGAGTACTAAGCACGGAGACAAGCACCTGGGACTAAGAGAATAAGGTGGAGTGAAGGTCACGCGTTATCAACAGGACGTCAGGGGCACAGCCCTCCGGCCGCCACCACGGGCAGCACGGGGTAGGCACAGCCGTGTAGCGAGCGCAGCCGCCACCCTGCATCCCGCACAGCTAATCCAGGGGCTCAGACAAGAACACCACGGCTGAGCTCACGCTGCCGTGATGGACGCTCCCGGGGCCCTAAAAACGGGGTGGACGTGCTCTGCGTGTGAGACACACACGAATCCCTGGGGCGGACGGTGGACGGAACACTAGCGCCTCGAAGGCGGGGACAGCACCGTCCCCAGATCCTGGGGGCCAGCGGGACCAAGAGTGTAAGAGGTTAACGGGAGACAATCCCAGGCTGCCGGGCCCTGATGGAACCACAGGGTCCGTCCTCCCTGGTGGGGGGGGGGGGGGCAGGCTCGTGACACACGGACCCAGAGATGTGGTCACGGAAGCAGAGGCCGTAAGTGGCCTGAGCCGGGGACGCAGGTGCCTCTAGAAGCAGGTCCCCCTCCAGAGCCTCCACGCTGTGCAAGAATAAACGTGCGTTGCCCTGAACCACAGTGCATGATCGCAGGGGGTGGCAGCCCCGGGAAGGCAGTGCTGACGGCCTGCACGGCTGAGGAAACTGAGGAACGAGATGGTACCCGGCACCCCCAGGGCTATGTGCCAGGCAGCGGCAGAAGCGGACATGGAACCCTCTGCTCCGCCAGCCGCGCCATCACGTCCACACATTGCCGGGAACCACCCACGGGTGAGGCGCCCAAGGCGGGACGGGCTGGTGTCCAGGCCACACACGCAGCCACAGGCTACCATGCACGTCTGACTCCGCGAACAAGGCTCCGCCACAGAGAATTCCTTCTCGTGACGAGCTCTCGAGACCCGACGGTCCCGCACACGTGGATTCATGCTGAAGACTTGTCCGCCGGCCAACGGGAGCTTCCCACGGCCGAGAGGACCCTGGGGTGAGGGGCGCTGGGGCGAGTCACTCACGAGGAGGAGCTGATGATGATACAGGGGCCGCAGCCTGAACAACACGGCAGAAGGCGCGGCAAGGGGACTGGAAGTGGAGGCATGAGACAGGACCGCGAAGACCCCACCCTCTCCCGCGCCCGGTCCTCTGCACCCGGGGGCGCTGCCGGGACTCGGCAGGTAGAATCTCAAGGCATAAAATGAGGAAGGCGTTAATTATTCGAGAAGAGAAGAGCAAGACGGGGTGCCTGGGGGGCTCAGCTGGTTAAGTGTCCAACTCGATTTTGGCACATTAGGATTCGAGCTCCACATCAAGCTCTACGCTGACAGCACGGAGCCTGCTTGGGATTCTTTCTCCCCTCCCCCTCCCCAACTTGTGTTCTCTCTCAAAATAAAGAATCAAACATTAAAAAAGAAAGAGGGGCGCCTGAGTGGCTCAGTCAGTTGAGCGTCTGACGTCAGCTCAGGTCATGATCTCACAGTCTGTGGGTTCAAGCCCCGCGTCGGGCTCTGTGCTAACAGCTCGGAGCCTGGAGCCTGCTTCGGATTCTGGGTCTCCCTTTCTCTCTGGCCCTCTCTGCTTGCACTCTGTCTCTCTCTCAAAAATAAACAAACATTAAAAAAAAATAAAGGAAAGAAAAGAAGACCAGAATATAGGGAAAGATGCCTTATGCTACCTAGAATCATGTGTTGCACGACAAAAAAAAATCTAACTTATAAGTTTCTTGCTTTAGAAGTTTCTAGCAATTAAAGAATGGTGAAAAGAAAAGAAAGAAAGAAAAAGAGGTAACTACACAAACATACTATTTTCCCGTGTGCAGGAAAACTTTGGGGCTGAGTTCCTGCCTCTGGTGCCCGGCAACCGCTCCCGCTCTCAGCCCCGCCCCCCCGGCTGGGGTTCTCCGGGCCTCGACCACGATCTGAGGAGGAAGCGTCCACACAGCCAAACACGGCCCCCGTGCGCGCTCTCAGACTCCGTGGCAGTGAGCCCCTCCTGCCCGTTCACAGAACACGGGGCCCTGGCGTGGCGCACGGGCTGCCTGGCTAGTCGGTGATGTGCCCCGGAAGTCAGTCCATGCAGAGAAGGCGGAGGACGGGACGCCCGCGGGCTCACTCCCCCCGCCCCCACCCGGAGGAGGGACCCGCGCGAAGGCAGGAGGCCAGGACGGGAAGCAGGGAGACGCAGACAGCAGGAGGCGGAGCGGCCGCGCGGGGGCCTGCGTCCACGTGCCGGGCCCCCCCGGGCGGCCGGCCGGCAGCGGGCAGCGAAGGCTCGCTCACGTGCAGGGGAAGCCGTGCGGCTCCCGAGAGCGCGGCCTGCCCGGGGCTCGACCGCGTCGGAAGCGTCTGGACTCACGTGCAGCTGCCTCCGGGCCGCCTCCTGCTCCCGCTGCTCCCGGGCCGCCCTCTGCGCCCGCTCCGCCTCCGCCTTCCGCCGGTCCTGCTGCGCCTTCTCCTTCGCCAGGTTCTCGAAGTTCGCTCTGATGTTGCTCGTTCTGCTGTTCGCTGCACGGGGGGGGGGGGGGGGGCGCAGCTGGCGTCAGAGCAGCGGCGGCTCCCCGGACCCAGCCTGGCGGGAGGTGCCTCATCTCCCCGGGGACGCGCGGGCAGAACCGTAAGGAGCGCCGACCTGCGGGGACTCTCGAGCCCTGAGGACACGTCTGTCCATCTTCCGAGTCGGGCGGGAGGGGCCGCAGGCGCAAGTCCTGCGGACTCGGGGAAAACCACCCGTGCGGCCGAGCCGCAAGCTGACCTGACTTTCCACAGAACATTCTCTGGCCTGAAACACCTAACAGGGCCCGAGCACGCGCGGCCTGGGCTGTGGCAGACATCTGTCTAAAATGACGGAACGGGCCGTGCGGGCTCAGGAAAACCGCACCTGGTGTCAGCGGGAACATTCAAGCTTTCGAGAAAGTCAGGACGGTGGAAAACTTGAACCCGCTGCTGTGACATTTTCCTAACTTTCCTCGGAGTGGCGGACGAGGCTGAAAACCCACTCGTGAGTGTCAGCCGGGGGTTTGGAGAATGAGAAGAAACCCCACGCTTGGAAGAGCAGCTGAACTCAGTGGCCCAGTATTTTCCAAACGTCCACCGCGAGCTACAGAACCAGGCCGCCCTGTGCGGGCGGCGAACCCCCGAGGGAAGCAGGGAACCCCCTCCCGTCTGAGCGCAGAACCATGAAAGAGCGTCCCGAGCCCCGAGGAGCTACCGCCACCTCCTCGCGTCCACCTGCGGGGAGTGCACGCCACCTTCCTAAACATAATCTGCCACGAGAGACACTGCAGAAGCGGCAAGAACGGAATCCCGGACTAACCCTGCGCGGCCGCCGCGCTCCTACATCATCCTGTTACGGTGTTCAAGTCACTTGTTCAACTGCCCTGAAGACACGGTTATTTTTTCCATAAATAGTATTATACTAATATATAAAAACATATCGTTGTTAAGTGAATTCGTAACGCCTTTAGTTCTTAGAGGTTTTTGTTTGTTTTCTAAATGTTTGTTTACTTTTGAGAGAGAGACACAGAGCACGAGCACGGGAGGGCAGAGAGGGAGGGAGACACAGGATCTGGAAGCAGCTCCAGGCTCCGAGCTGTCAGCACAGAGCCCGACGTGGGGCCTGAACTCACAAACAGGGAGACGAGGACCCGAGGCAAAGTCGGACACTTAACCGACTGAGCCACCCAGGCGCCCCCTTAAATTCTTGGTTTAACTTCCCTACAATCGAGAGCAGGAAACACAGCCCCCCACCCCCACCCCGGCTGCAGCCTGTGCGGGGCCAGAACACAGACAAGGCGGGGACGTCACCGTCGGCCTCTGTGCGGGCAGGTGGCACACTGCTCACGTCACAGCCGTGGCTGATGTGGGGCCCCGGAGAACCTCCCAGAACCCGGTCCCGGTCCCGGTAGTGAGGAGGGCGCTTGCGGACGGGCGGTTCACCCAGCCCTGCCTCGGGAGGCACCCCCACAGACCTCGCCTCGGAGCTGCAGGCACCTCGGACGGGAGTGTGCGGGGGTCCCCGGGGACAGGCGGCCTTCCTCCAGCGGGCGGCGGAATGCTTCCCCAGGGCAGGCGGAGCCAGGGCACCCCCGCCGCCCCCCGCTGACGCCTCGCCCCCGGCGGGAGGCCCACGCGGCACTGCGTCCGCCACAACTCACCTGCCTCAACGGGGACGGTCTTCTGATAAGCGGGGGCCACCTGGGCGACATCCTCGAAGGTGGACGCATTCTAGCAGGAGAGAAGCGGGCCCATCAGGGGAGCCCCCTCGCCCTCTGCAGCCCGGGCAGCTCCCTCCGCACGCAGGAGCTCTCACGCCTGGGGCCGTGTTCTAGCCTCGCTGGGCCTGATCGTCCACGTTTCCCAGTGTGCCAGGCCCCCGTGTCATTTCTGGAGGACCCAACTCGTCTGGGCAAAGCGACAGGGCTGACCGCCCACTCACAGGAGGACCCAGGCGCGCCGACGGGCTCAGGGGCCTCCCAGCCATCCTCAGTTTCCCTGGGAGGGAAACAGGCTTGGGGCTCAGCACTCTGCGGCTTTTCTGACACCCAAACGAGGAGAAAGGGGCCCCAAACAGGGGCGGGGAGCAGCCGAGCTCCCTTGGCCCGCCCGCTCCGCGCCTCCAGAGCCAGCGGCCCCCAGGCCGGGTGCTGCTGCACACAGATCACCTGAGTCATCCCGGCCTCAGCTCCTAGCGCAGCTGCTGGGCCGCGTGACCAAACCTGCCCCTTCCCAGGCACCCCCTCCCAAACTGCCGGGTGGGCCGTGCCGCTCCCCAGAACAATGTCCAATGCCACCCCCCATCCTGTGCAGCCTTGAGGGAAGGGGGTGTCAGCGCCCTCCCAACTGCCCCTGCTGCCCCCAGGGGTGATTCCCCGCTCCAGCTGCACCACGGTCCAGAAGGTTCTCCAGCACGCCACTCAGGACCGTCTCTGCCGCCAGCCTGGGGGCTTGTGTCCCAGTTACGCTGCCTTCCCAGCACTGCGCCTTGCCCCCCCCCACTGACCAGAATCCCCCCCTCTGCACCCCCTCCCCTGGTCCCGCCTGCCAGGCACCCCTCCCCCATCTCCACTGTAGACTCGGGTCCCAGCAACCCACCTGGCTCAGGGACAACCTCACGTCACCACCTGGCTCTGAACCCCTTGCATGCATTTCCCGGCAGTCACCACGTGTCTCCCAGCCTGTGCCCCACCCCTCACTGCCAGGGCCACACGTGGTCACACGTGGAGTCCCCTGGGTGATGACGGCTGTGTGGTCAGCAGTGAGCCCATCCGAGGGCAGAACTCCAGGGCCAGACACGGGACCAGGCGGCACGGCCTCAGTCTCTGTTTGGGGACATGGGAGCCACACCCCGGGAAGTCCACGCTCAGACGTGGTAGGACCGAAGACCCCACCGGGTATGAGGGCTGTGTCACTGAGACTCTGAAGCCACCGGAAGGGACAGAGTCCCCAGGGAGAGTCACGCGCTGGCTCTGGACAAACCCTGGCCCACGGGCCCTCCGCGGCGAGGCCCGGGTTCCGGATCTGCGGCTCCCACATGGCAGCCACCACCCACGTGTGGCCGGTGAGTCCTTGCACCGCGGCCGTGTGACCAAGGGACTCCATTTCCAATTCAGTTTACTCCTAATTTGAACCCACACAGCCACACGTCCTCAGGCCATCACGTCGGCCTAGTGTCTGAAGGTCCAGGTTCCGAGGATGGCCTGGTCACGCACCGTGGGCTGTGTGGGGTCGCGGCTGCACTCGGGGCCTGCCTGGGATTGTCCCTGTCTCACAGCATGGCTGCGTGGGGCCCGGCACATGGGAAGCACGTTCGAGTGTGCGTACCTCTGACAACACGAGCCGGCACCCACCGGCGACGGCCACGGGGCAGCGCCCAGCAGGGCTCCGTGGGCACCCCCCCATCAGCACAGGACACTCCACCCAGACGGGAGACACTCACCTTATCCATGCGGTCCTTCTGCACCCCGAATTTCCCGCCGAACCCTTTGGAGTAGTCTGAAACGGGGCACAACACGACACTTAGTCTCGGGTCGAGGACCAGCATGGGGCCACCGGCAGACGCATGCAGACAGAGCCAGGAGCAGCGCAAGGAAATGCACCCGGAGCAGAGAGAAACGAGAACCGCCAACCGCAGGGTCTTTACTTGCAAGGTGAGTTTTGTTTCTACCAAGGGTATTCAGTACGCAGGCGGGCGAGAGGCAGAAAAGAGGCGTGTGCATGCTTGCCGCATTCTCCCGAGGGACACGGGGGTGCCGGGTGCGGGCTGGCAGGCAGCGAGAGCGAGGAGGCCGCAGCACGGGCCGGGGAGGGCGCCGCTTCAATAGCACAGTCTTCCACCCAGCAACGGCTGACCGTCCGCATCCCTTCCCGCGTCCTGCTCTGAGCGCTCAAAGGAGGCTCACCCGCAGGCTCCTCTCGCTTTTTAAAAGAAAAAAACAATTCCGTGGGGCAATTCTAGCAGCCAAATACTCATGTCACAGCGACACAGATCTACGTGACAGTCACACCGTCATGCAGTCTCGATGCCACGTAGAGCCAAGGCCACGGCCATGCAGCCTGCCGGACCGGCCCGGGTGCGTGTGCCTTCCCTCGCCGGCTCCGGCGCTCGCGGCTAACACTGGCACCGGGAGCCTGAACCCTGCCCGTGAGTTCGGGGCATCGCTGCCCTTCCCGCTGGGGCCCCATTTCTCACAGCTAAGTCCAGACTCTGACTGTAATCAAAGGAGGAAATGGGGCATTTGCCACTCAGGGTCCCAATACACCTAGCAAGTCCCTGTCCCTCTAGCTTTGTGTATGTGCTGTTGGCTCTGCGTAAAGAACGCACACGTAACACGGACGGTGTCGTCCAGGAGAGAGAGGACAAACAAACGTCCCCGCCCCGCCAAAGACACCACCACAGGCAACATGGGAGCCGCACAGCACACGCCCGGCCCTGCCCCTCGCTGCCACCTGGCCTCTGGCCTAAGGCTAGCGGCCCAGCCGAACCAGGCACGGGCCCCTGTCCCAGTGGCCGCGCTCCGCAGCGAGAGCTCCTGGGGAAGGCTGCTGGGAGACCGGGGACAGCCCGTCCCAGAAAGCAGTCCCACGAAGGGGTCACGGTGACATTAACCTGTAAGCTAGCGCCTCACTTTGCCAACCCCCAAATCTGACAGGGAGAGGAGAAACGGGGTGGAGGAAGGAGGGAGCAAGTTAGAATCGCTCCCGCATAAAACTGGGTCTGAAACCCCCCTGTGCCCCCGGCGAGGGACAGAGGGTAGCTCGGAAGGCTGGGCCCTGAAGTCTGTGCTAGAAGTGGCTGCCCCAGAACGGGGAGGCGGCGGGGGGGCGGGGGGGGGAGGCAGGAGGCGGGGGCGGTGAGCCACTATGCCTTGCTGGGACTCGTGCTTGGCCAGTCTCTCCTTGTAATCAAACCCCACAGCACAGGAGTCCTGCCTCTCGGACTGAACACCAAATCTGCCTCCAAAACCAGCCTTATAATCTGAAAACCCACCGGCACCAGTGGAGAAAACCGAGAGAGGAAACAGCGTGGTTAGAATCGTACGAGCAGCGCCAGTCACGCGCGTCGTCGGACACACGCAGAGCCGTGCCGGGCTCGGGGCTGGAGCGGCTCCCGGGCTCACGGAGGGTCCGAAGTCAGCTCCCAGGCCACAGACAAGGCGAAGCTCTTAACGCCTCAGCCACGGTCCGAGAACAGGTGAGGCCCTGCCGCGGGGGGACTCGGAAAAGGCACTCTGTGCCCTGAGATTCCCGCGCAGGGCGGCGAGGGGCGCGCCGTACACCAGGGCCACGCGGCGCCACGCAGGAGCCCCGCTTCCCAGCGCGCCGGCCGCAAGGGCGGGTGCAGGTCTGGGTCACCCGCAGAGGTGCCCCCACCCCCCACCGCGCCCCCTGGGGCCCAGGGACGCGCTTCCGAGTGGAAGCAGCGTCTCCCGCCAGAACCCCGCCCGCTCTATCAACGGGGGCTCACACACGGGCAGAAAACAGCACCCCCCAAGATGCTCCGGGCCCTGCCAGGTGCTTCGGACGCACAGGCGAGCGGGGGGCCCCCGGCAGCTCCGGGGGAGGGCGGGGGGGGAGGGGAGGGGAGGGCGGGGGGGGAGGGGAGGGCGGGGGTTCAGCGCGGCACTAGCTGAACAGTTTCTCAAAAACGCGGGAGGCACAGGACAAGCCCACACAGTGAAGAAAAACAACACGCTACGGAAACACGGCGGCGACACGGCACGCTGACAGACCGTGGGCGAGAGCACACACGTTCCGGAACGACCCCGAGGAGCAGCGGGCGAGGCAAACGTACCTCTCTGGGACTCGTGCAGCTGCAGCTTCTCCTGGTGGTCCCAGCCGAGCGCACACTTGTCCTGTCTGTCTGTCTGCACGCCGAACTTCCCTCCAAACCCTCTCACGTAGTCTGCGGTGCACAAGAAAGGCCACGAGCCGGTGTTAGCGGCAGGCGTGGGCGGCGGGGAGAGGGCACGTTTCCCACGCAGCCGAACACACACAACCCGCCGTGCGCCTCCTTCTTCTGAACCTTTAGAAACACTCTGGGACACGGTCACGAGGACCCCTCGGAGCAGGACTGGGAAACAGCCTGACGTACGGCCTCGGTACCGTCAACACACACACTCGGGACCCCACATGAGTAGCTCCGCGCGGCAGAACCGGCACCCACGAGCCACCGCGCCCTCCCGGCTGCCGACACAGATGTGCGACACACGGCCGTCGTTACGAGCGACTGCTGGGGTGCTGGGGCCAGATGGGTGTAAAGACACAGTTTCTTATTTAACAGCTGTGTTGGGACTTGGGGTTTTAAAGTCCGACGTTTACGTTTACCGCCCGGGTGGCTCAGTCGGTTAAGCATCTGACTTCGGCTCAGGTCATGATCTCGCGGTTCATGGGTTCGAGCCCCGCGTCGGGCTCTGTGCTGACAGCTCACAGCCTGGAGCCTGCCTTGGATTCTGTGTCTCCCTCTCTCTCTGCCCCTCCCCCACTCTTGCTCTGTCTCTCTCTGTCTCTCAAAGGTGAATAAATGTTACCAATAAAACAAAATTTAAAGTTTGCTGCTGAATTACAAACAGGCAACCGCTTTCGGGCTTCCGGGCCACGCTTTCCATCTTGCTCTGCAGGCAGCGCGCGTGCCGGGGACCGCGGCAGCTGAGAGGAGACGCGTGGCTCACCTTTCTGCGACTCGTGCTTCTCCGTCCTGCCCTGGTACTCGAAGCCCACGGCACTCTTGTCCACCTTGTCCCTGTCGATGCCGTACTTGCCCCCGAAGCCCTTGGAGTAATCTGCACGGGAGAGCGGCGGCGTTCACGCGGAAGGCACAGGACGGCCGGGCGTGGGGGCCTCCGCGGTGTCCGAAGAAGCCCTTGTATCGCCCAACCAGAACCCAAACCAAACCAAGTGTCTTTCAGCCGCAGGGTAAGATCACTAACGCGGAAGACGCTGGAAGGGAATTCCTTGGATACGAACAACAGAAACGTGACGAGCAGCCAACAGAGCGGAGGAGCAGCCGTCGCATCTCCCCTTCATCCCAAAGGGGATCAGGGAGGAGGCGCGTTACACAGCTTCGGAGATGAGACGAGCCACAGCGGCCCCACGGCAAGCTGTCAAAGGTCACCTGCTTCACCAACTGAAGCCAGCAGAGGTGGCCCGGCGGCACCTCCAGGGGAGGAGGGCACACGTGAGGACTCGTGCAGAAACCTCGCTTCACCCCAAAGCTGAGTCCCCGACATGCACATCCTGACGCTTAAGCACGGCTCCACCAGGGACGCCCGCGCGGAACACGATGTGAAGCTCGCAGCCCTCGCAAGGCCAGGGGCCGCCAGGAGCCCCGTGTCCCAGGCACTTGTGCTCGGGCCCCGTCGAGGAGGGGGGGTGAACACCACCAAGTGGGATGCAAGCGCAGATCGGCAGGGAGCACGGCGGGGAGCAGCACAGGTGGCCGGCCCAGACCTCGGCCTCAGGGCAGGCGGGCAGGCCTGTGACAGGAAGTGGCCCACGGCCCCCCAGCAGCTTCCCTGGGGAAATGCTGAGCTGGGGCTGTTTCCAGTGGGCGGGGGCGGGTAATTCTGTCTTTGAAAGAAATCTGGGTTCTTAAATAATACATGATCTGTTTTTAAATGCTGGCAATTATTTCTAAAAACTTAAATGTGCAAGCGCACCTGGGTGACTTCGACAGTTAAGTGTCTGATCCTGGTTTTAGCTCAGGTCACGATCTCGTGGTTCACAACTTCAAGCCCCGCATCGGGCTCTGCAGGGAGGGCACGGGGGAGCCTGCTCGGGAATCTCTCTCTCCTTCTCTCTGCCCCTCCCCCGCTTGTTCTCTTTCTCCGCCGCCCCCCCCCCCCAAACAAATACATACAGATAAGACTTCAAATGTGCAGGGGCACCTGGCTGGCTCAGTTGCTGGAGCATGTGACTCGTGATCTCAGGGTCCTAAGTCTGAGCAGCACACTGGGTGTGAAAGTTACTTAATAAAGATAAAACCTAGGGTCGCCTGGGTGGCTCAGTCGGTTAAGCGTCCGACTTCGGCTCAGGTCACGATCTCAGGGTCTGTGACTTCAAGCCCCGCGTCGGGCTCTGTGCTGACAGCTCGGCGCCTGGAGCTGCTTCGGATTCTGTGTCTCCCTCTCTGCCCCTCTTCCGCTAGTACTGTCTCTCTTGCTCTCAAAAATAAACATTAAAAAAAATTTTTTTTAATCTTAAAAAAAAACATCTAACGTGCCTACAAAACAAAACCAAGCAAAAAGCCAGCCCCCCGTGGCTTCTGCAGCAGGCCGCGCGTCCGTGGGCCCCCGCACAGGCCAGCAGCGTGTCGCCCGTGCCTGGCAGGGCTTCTGTGAGGGCAGGAAGCCAGCACGGCCCGCGAGGACAATGGCAGCACCCACGCACATTTCAAACTCAACGTCCTGCGACCCGCCAGGTCCTTTTCTAGAAATTTACTCTTTTGAAAAATTGCATGTATACAAGACGCGAGAACAAGACTTTTAACTTCAAAAACTGCAAAGAGCCTGAATCCCACTGTCCCAAGGAACGAGCTGGCCAGATAGCGTACGGGCCCCTCGCAGGGCGGGGCTGAGCCATCACCCGAAGGACGGTAAACCCCCTACACGCACGGGAGAGCCCGGAGCGCCCTTGCGCTTTCAGGTAAAAAGGCTGCGTGAGTGTGATGTGGGCCGGTCTCCCTGGGGCTGGTTCCGTGGACGCGGGCGGGAGGCTGGGGACAAGGCGGGGGTGGGGGGGTTGGGCATGCGTAAGGACGCGCCACCGAAGGCTGACCTTTCTGCGACTCGTGCTTCTCCGTCTTGCCCTGGTAGTCAAAGCCCACAGCGCTCTTGTCCACGCGGTCCGCCTGCACACCATACTTGCCGCCAAAGCCGCTCGAGTAATCTGAGGGGACAGGGCAGTGCTCGGCGACAAAGCCCGATGACAGACTGAACGGTCACTTGTCAACTACTCAGGACAACAACACTCTGGGGTTAGAAGTCACCAGGAGATGAAGCACATGTTCGAAAATGGCACCTGCGGTTACACAGGAGTGAGCCCAGCCTCGGCTGACAGCCCACGCACCGGGCAGCGAGGGCCCCGCGCAGCCGACAGCAGGTGCACCGGGCGGCGAGGGCCCTGCACCTGTTCTAGGCACCTGCTTCCCGTGGCGGCAACAAGCCCCGTTCTGACTCGGGAAAGCAAACATTTGGAAGCTACGTGTCTAGGATCCCTTCCTAAAGGGGCTGGGAATGCCCGTGCCCGGCCAGAACACCTGCGCCCCGGCTCTTCTGATGACACGCAAGAGGCAGCAGTACACCGGCCTGCATGACACACGTCAAGGGCCCTGGGAAAGTGACACACTCTCATCTTTTAAAAAGACTCTAACAGGCACAACCAGAAGGTCAGCCGACGCCGTGTCAGGGAGCACACGTTTATAGTAAAAGTAAAACATCAGTAGTCTAAGGGCTGCGGTCTGCACTGTCGGGGGACATTAGCTCTTCACTAACCAGGCCCCAGAGCCGACTCTGCAGGGACAGCACTGCTGGGAAGACGGCTCCTGCCACGGTGACACGGGACGCAGACGCCTGGGGGCACGTCCTCCCGCAGGCGACACCCGGTCCGGGGACAGGGCCCTCCCCCTCCCCTTTACCCCCTCCCCCGGCCGCAGGTCTTACCTTTCTGCGAGGCGTGTTTCTCAGTTTTCCCCTGGTACTCAAAGCCCACGGCCGACTGCAGGTACCAAGAAAAGGGAAACACATTTTTAGAGCTCTCCAGAACGGTTCGTCTGAATCCAGGACACACGTGAAAATTGTGAGAACACAAACCATGTTAGTTTTTGGCCTCTGGCTTCCTAAGCCAAGGGCAGGCCGCCCTCAGGGCCAAAGCTCAAAATTCGCTGCCATAAAAGACCCCGCGGCGCCCGGCGGGCTGTGCGGGCGATCCCGTGGCCGCCGCGGCCCCCACAGGGCACGTCGGGCTCCTGGGCTTGAGCCCCACGACGCCACACGTGCACCTGCTCCTCACCTGAGCTCTTCCACGAGCAACCCTGCCGTCGGGGTCGGGAACGAGAACGGGCAGGGCGGGGGCCCTGTGCACGCGGCCCCGGGGCCCCCGCAGCTAACACAGACCCGCGGCTGACGCGGAGCAAAGCCTGAACGCGGATGGGGGTCTGACTCCCAAATCCAACGGCTATGACAGAAAACAGGGCGCTGGCGGCCCTCAGTCACACTGAGAGGCTGAGGCCCAGAGGCGCCGGATGGTGCCCCGACACCGGGCCTCAGCCCTGGAAACAGGCGCAAGTGTGGCACCCTGCCACGTCTGCTCTGAACAGCACCGGGTCCCAGTGACGTGCATGCAGGGACGGTGACTAGAAGGAGTCCCCAGGGACACGCTCCCAGGCAGCGGAAGGCGGCCCCTGGCCCCTCTGATCGGTACAGGCCAACGTGGGGGAATTCTACAGGACCCAGGAGGACAGACCCTTACTCGTTCCCGTGCTCCCGTTCTCACGTCGTAACCCAGCTGGTCATCCCAGAGCCAGGGGCTGGGGAGCTTCTAGAAGCCCTGTGGCCGGACACCCGCCCCCCAGTCCTCAGTCGAGGCAGTACCTCGAGAGGCCTGGGGACTCCCTGGTCTGGAGGCAGTGGCCCCGTTGCCCGTGCCCTGGCTCCCACTACCCCTCGCTCACCTGGTCAACTCTGTCCACCTGGACGCCAAACTTGCCCCCAAAGCCCCGGACGGAGTCCACCTGGGAGCAGTGCTTGGAGAGCTTCGACTGGTACTCGTGGCCGACGGCTGACTGGAACGGGATGTGGAGAGGAGGGGTCAGCCAGGGGCAGCTGCGTCAGACACCCCCCCGCGCGGTCCACAGGGCACCAGCCCACACATAGGGTCCACGGCAGGGCTCCTCCACAAGACGCGCGCAGTGTGGACGTTGGGGATCCCCGAAGCCACCCAAGACCCTGCCGGGTCGGCGCTTCTGCAGGCCCCGTGCAGAGCCCAGCCTGACACCAGCGACCACAGAGGGCGACAGTCACTCGCTCTGCCAAAGCGAGGCCCTTGCCTACCACGTGGCCTAGGAATGAGGACCAGAGATTCTTCCCCGACGGACAAGGATGCAAACAAACCTGCTCTCAGTGACCACACGCACTCGGCCACTCTACATACAGAGCCACCGCATCACCGCGCCCACCCCGTCCACCCAAGGGGCCTCCCATGCAGGAAAGCCAAGGCGTCCCGCCACTGTGGCCTCGGCAAGGCCAGCCACCCAAGGCCTCTGGGCCGCACCGGGCTCCCCGACTCTTGTCACCAAGGCTTCTGGAACGCAGCCCCCATCACGTGTTTACATATAAGGCCGCTTCTGGGACTCGACCACCAAATTCAGTAAATACCAGACACCCCACAGCCCGCGAAACTGTAAATACTCACTACCAAGCTCCCCAGCAGCAACCACCCCCCACCGCCCGTCCAGCCCCCCAGCCCCGCCCCTGGCCCCGCCTCATTGCCCCCTGCCAGGGCCCCACCCTGCCCTGCCCAGCTGCCTGGGCCCAGGCTCTGTCCCCAGCATGGACGCTGGGACGCGTGACCAAGTGCGGGCACCTGAACCTTCAGTTTTACTGCCAACGGTCACGCCGCATGGGGACACAGCGCACAGATACCCCTCCCTCCGCCTGGTCTCTGGGGCCGCACAGGGCGCCTGGGGCAGGGGAGCAGGGCAGAGGCGGGAGGCCGTTCTCAGCACAGCGCAGGGGAGAGAGCCGCTGAGCTTCACAGGAAGCCTCGGAGACAGGCTGCTCTCCCCTCCCCCGCGCTGCTCTGCTGTCCCTCCTGCCTGGAGACCTGAGGCACAGTGACGAACCGGCTGCCTCCAGGCTCCCAGGCTCCCACGCCCAGTGCGCCCAGTGTGGATGAAGCCCCCCAGGGGGCAGCCTGCAGAAGGGGCTCCTCGAGCATGAACTGCAGCAGAAAGAAGCTTAGAAAAGAAAGCTTTTCTAAGAGTGTGGCCAGAGTGCAAGTGGGGCAAGTTTCCCAAGTATCTTTTCTGTTTTTATCAGGACAGATGGAGCCCCTGAGAAACCCACGCCCGTCACTGGGCATCGGCACCGGGCAGGGCGCAGTGGCCAAGGCTGCTCGCACACTGCAGGTCCGGGTCGGGCCAAGGCCAGGAACGAGGCCCGCCTCACTATCTCCACCCGCGGAGGAGGGCAGGGCGCCGGACAGGGTAGGCGGGGACCACAGTCCTGCAAACACGTGCCTGCACGAGCGGGCTTTTGTTCACGAGGTCTCCATCACGTTCTCAAGTCCAACACAGATCTCGGGGCTCTTTCCGACTCAGCGAGGACGGCTTACACAGTACTTAAGAATTATGTGATTTTGGGGTCTCAATTTTTTTTAAGCTTATTTATCTTGAGTGAGAGAGAGAGAGAGCGCGCGCGTGTGTGCAAGTGGGGGAGGGTCAGAGAGAGGGGAAGAGAGAGAATCCCAAGCAGGTTCTACACTGTCAGCACAGAGCCCGATGCAGGGCTTGAACCCACGAACTGTGAGATCATGACCTGAGCCGAAATCGGGAGTCGGACACTTAACCGCCTGAGCCCCCACGCGTCTGGAGTCTCAAGTTACTTCTCACAACAGGTTGGTGGCATGGTGCCCCGGGGAGCTGCAAGCTAACCTTGCCTGCGTGTGCAGCGAGGCGCGAGGGAGGGGCTGCACGCCCACGGCAGCGCCGCCTCCACACCCACCCGTAAGGGGAGCCCCCACTACACCAGCTGAAGAGACTAGAGTGTCTCCCTGAGCCGTTTGGGCACCGTGACTGCATCCAGGAGACGCCACTGAGCGCCTGCCCGGTGCCAGGCCAGGCATGAGGTGAGGATGACAGGTCCAGCCCCGGGAGCCTCCACAGAAAGGTGGCCACGTCCAGGGGGCACGGAGGACGGCAGGGAGGAGGCACAGGGGAAAGGCAGCCGTGGGCAGGCTGGCGGGAGGGAGGGAGGGCTCATCAGGGAAGCTTCCAGCGACTAGAAAGGCCAGAGCCCAAGGTGCTGGGGGACAGGAGCAGTGGAGAAGCCACCACGCTGTTGTCTGATCGTTTCATTATTTTCCCCAATGTGTCATTTTTCCAACCCAGAGCTGGGGGCCCACACGGACCATGAATCTCTCTCTGCTGTGACTCCCCACAGCCCCATGGGCACAGGCTGGGTCTGGGGGCAGGAAACCTTTCTACCTGCTTCTCTCGCTGTCCTGAGCACACGGGGGTTTGTCTGTTTGTGCTGCAAAAAGCCACCAGGCTTTCTTTCTTAGAATTATCTGAAGATTTTCCCGCTCCCCACTTTCCTTGTCTAGACATCTCTGGAACGACAGTCACACCAGGAAACATCCGTGCTTCCTGCAGCTCGCTCCTGGTCCAACCCCAGCTCAGGCAGTTCTGGACCCGGAGTGGGGTGCCCACGGGCCCCCACGTGTGTGCCCTGTGCCGGCACAGTGCGGCGGTGACACCGTGACGCGGTGGTGCTGTTCCAGGCCGCTGACTCCGAGCCGTGCAGGGGCAGGCGGCGCTGGGATTTCACACCAGAAATTCCGTATCAGCTAACAGTTTCCTTCCACGCAGAGCCAAGGCAGACGTCTGTCTGCGGGAACGGCCGCCAGGCTGGGACGCTCACGTCTACGGGGCGTCTACACGACGTCCCCACTGGAGACACACGTGCCCCCCCCACCATGTTCTCAGTGTGGCGGGGAGAGCCCTCCAGAGCCGACGTGCCCCGGCTCTCCCAGGACGGGAGGACGCAAAGTGCTACCGACGCCCAGTGCATTCAGCCAGCAGCGCGGATGCCGCGGGCCCTGGCGGCGGAGTCTCGCCCACGGTCCGCCATGTGAGTGCTCCCCCCCCACCCGCCTCCAGGGCCGTGACTCTGCACAGGGGGCCCGGCGGGGCACCACCTGGCTGAGGGCTCACCTGCACCAGGAACAAGAGTCCCCCTGACCCACTCTGGTCTGCGGACGGGCTTGTGGTGACACTCACCCTGCACGCGAGGTACTCCGGGGCTTCCATGCTGGTCCCAGAACCCCCCCACCCCTGCCTCCCTCCTCAGGGCCCCCACCCCTGCCTCCCCTGCACGGCCCCCACCCCCGCCTCCCTCCTCAGGGCCCCCACCCCCACCTCCCCCACCCCCACCTCCCAGGATCAGCACACCGTGGGGCCCAACAACCTGAATGAGCAGAACCGACCACACACACTGACATCAATCTGGCCCTGTCCCGGACCTGAAAGAACCCGCGCTTATACCCAGAGGAAGTGGTCCAACTCCCAGTGAGGGGTTCCGTAAATACAGAAAACAAGGCAGCCGCAGCCACAGCCGTGTCCAGAGCAGTGCTCTCAGCTACCCCCTCTTTAGGGCTTTGGGTTCAATAGAAGGAGCGAAGGAGTGGGGGAGGGTCTCTTTGCAAGGNCCCCCCGCCTCCCCCCGCACGACCCCCACCCCCGCCTCCCCTGCACGACCCCCACCCCAGCACCCATGAGAATCCTACCAGGGCTTCCCAATCACAGGAGCACTTCACGAGGAAGGTGAGCGCACGGAGGACAATCCCACCTCCACTGCAGCCTCGAAGCTTTCAGCCAAGAGGCCTGAGAACCCGCCGAGAACCGCACGCGCTGCCGCCACCTACCTTGTCCATCCGGTCCTGCTCCACGCCGAACTTGCCGCCGTAACCGTGAGAGGCTCTCGGTCCTGTTTCCAGCTCCTTCTCCTTGAGGGTCTGGTGTTCTTGGAAAACATTCTCTCTCAACTTGTGTATGCTGGAAGGGCGGGGGCGGGGGGACAGACACACACTGAGGCGGGAGGGCGTCCGCACCTTCTAGGAGGACCCGTGAGGCAGACAGCGGGATGTACGCACCGCAAGGCCCCGTCACTCCACGCCCCCAAACCCCTGCCTTCGCCCTGCGCCCCTTCCTCGGCCAGCTGGCCCGACTCGTCAGCAGAGCTCAGAGTCAAGTTTACAGGGAAAAAGAAACTAATCTGCACCTGCCCAGGGACTCATCCCAAATCCAAGAGGAGCTGCAACGAAAAGGTGAATTGTCTTTATTTCCTACAGAGAAAAGGCTCTTTCATCAGGCACCGGGATTCGGAGAAGCCTTTCTCCTCCTCAAGGCAGAGAGGGAAAAAAGTCAGCAGTCCCAGATCCCAGATCCCCTGAGGACGCTGGCCGAAGGCAGTGAGGCAAGACATTTAGACAGCATCTCTACCTGAAGTACAACAGCTCTTACGTCCTCCACAGCGACACAAGACGCTTTCAGAATTTATCATCTAAAGCCACTTTCTACTGGGGCGCCTGGGGGCTCAGTCGCTTAAGCGTCCAACTTCAGCTCAGGTCATGATCTCATGGTTCAGGGGTTCAAGCCCCGCGTCGGGCTCTGTGCTGACAGCTCAGAGCCTGGAGCTGCTTCAGATTCTGCGTCTCCCTCTTTGTGACCCTCCCCCGCTCGTGCTGTCTCTCAGAAACAAATTTTTAAAAATGCTTTTTTTAAATAAAAAAAAACAAACTACTTTTTACTTCTAACACCAGGGATAGTGAAACAGATGGCAAGCTGTGGTCAAAATCTGACAGGTCAGGAAGCCCCTAGAGCTGTCACCATCACGGGTCCACAAGGTGCCACCCCACAGGGCTGTCCAGGGCACACTATGTCCACACATCTGGACGACGATCCCCGAGTGGAGTGAAAAAGCAAACCAGGCCTGGCCACTGCCCGGTGCCCCGGGGGGCGGGGGCGGGGAGAACAGCGCTCCAACAGCTGGGAGGGCCACAGCGCGGCCACAGCGGTCCCAGAGCCTCCCACGACGTCCGGCCTGGTCAAAGCCACGGGCACAGAAACGAGGAGGGCGACGGGGGAGTGAACCAGCTCGACGCCGGCTCCCGGGGCCTGGACATCCGCACGTGGCTTCTGTGGAAGGTGTGGGCTCAGCAGGTTGGGAGGGAACCAACACTTGGATCTAAACTACCCGCGCTGCCAACTGCACCCTCTTTTGTGGATGATTTCCTGGCTCTTTCTCAGCCAAGAACGACTTCCTCTTTCTGAAAGATAACGGGGCCAAAGACACACACCGCAGATGACCCAAACAGGTCACTGGGTCAGGGATGGCCCTTCACGGCAGGCACGGGAGGGTACAGATCGGAAGCCGGTACAGCCTGAATAAAAGCCTGAGCGCGGTTTAAAAGTTCCTTTTACCTACACCGCCTGACAAAGAAACAGCACCGGGAGAGGCGGCGGCGCGAGGCTGTGCCGAGTGACGAGCAGGGCCCGCTCTCCCCCGCGACAATCCCTCAACTCCCCTATTTGGGCCTTTTCGTGAGACCAGGGTGCTTAGCACCCAGCTCCTCGGTCCCCCACGGGCAGTGACAACAGGAGAATGACACTCGGGGCGGGGGTTAAGGTCTAAGGTAGTCAGACATTGTGTGTGGCAGGAATCTCCACTCAGAGAGCGCACAGGTGACCGCATCTGTGATGAAATCACCACTGCTGAAGAGAAGATGCTAGAATCCTAAATACAGGAACTGCTTCTGATGGGACTCCTAAGCCACCGCGTATGTCGGCACACACACGTACAGAAGCGCGTGATCTCGTGAGCATCAGGTCAGAAGACAGGTGCGGGCATGCAGATGTGTGTTAACAGAGAAGCTGTGTTGCCGACCCCTGCCCCCCGTCCGTGTCTTCGCCTTCAGAACACCAATTCCACACCGACGTTAAGAAAGTCCCTCAGGGGCATGTGGGGGGCTCAGTCGGTCCAGCGGCCGACTTCGGCTCCGGTCATGATCTCGTGGTTCGTGGGTTCATCGGGCTCTGTGCTGGCAGTTCAGCCTGGAGCGGCTTCGGATTCTGTGTCCCCCTCTCTCTGCCCCTCCCCTGCTCGAACTCTGTCTCTCAAAAATTGATAAACGTTAAAAAAATAATTTAAACACATTTGTATAAAAAAAAAAAAAAAAAAAAGAAAATCCCTTACTTGATGTGCTCCTGGTGCCCAGACCCCTGCACGGTCTTGGCCCCCCATCTCTGCTCCTTCTCACTGACATCGTTCTGAAAAGAGAAGCGAGTGACTCGTGAGGCCCACTCATGGGACTGGAACACACACACACAACCCACATGAGGGAAAGTGGGACAGAGGGAGCCCGGGGGCTCATACCACAAAATCGGGGTCGGTCTCCCAGTCGTCGGCGCCCCCGTCGTCCTGGGGGATGGACACGGCGTGGCCTGCCGAGGCTTTCCACATCTGAAAGAGCAGGGCCCGGGGTCAGGGGGACCCGGGAGAGACGCGCTCTGCGGCCACCACCCGGCGAGCTGGGCAGCTGTGCCACCAAATGCCCATCCCCAACCCCGTGCGGGAACGACACCGTCAGACACAGAAGAAATGTCATGTGGTCTTCCTTTTAAATTTTTTTTAATGTTTGTTTACTTTTTTTCTTTTTTTTTTTTACAAATAGTTTATTGTCAAATAATGTTTGTTTATTTTTGAGAGATGGAGTGTGAGCAGGGGAGGGACAGAGAGAGGAGACACAGAATCTGAAGCAGGCTCAAGCTGTCAGCACAGGGCCTAATGCAGGGTTCGAACCCACAAACTGTGAGATCATGGCCTGAGCCGAAGGCGGACACTCAACCGACTGAGCTGCCCAGGTGACCCCATCACGTGGTCTTTCTAACACTGCTCTCAAGTGGCATCCTAGACCCATCAGAAATAGTCCGGCTTCAATTCAAGTGGGAAAAATAAGAAAGTCATCTGTGCATTTACATCATCCATTGATACATCCCTCCTGGGGTGCCTGGGGGGCTCAGGGGGTAAGCGTCCGACTTCGGATCAGGTCACGATCTCGCCATTCTGGAGTTCTAGTTCTAGCCCCTCCCCCCCCCCCTTAAGGCCCTGAGCTGCCAGCTCAAAACCGGCTTCAGATCCAGTCTCCCTCTCTGCTCCTCCCCTGCTCCCTCCTGGCCTCTCTCTCCGGCTCTGGCTCCCTTAAAAACAAACATTAAAAAAAAGAAAACAAGGAAGAATACACGCCTCCACGGAGTCATGACGACGGTGCTGCCCCAACAGGCAGGGGCCGGACAACTGAATCCCAGGCTGCGTGGACTTTATCGCCTCAAAGAAACGACAGGACCCACACTGGTTTCAGGGACTTCCTGGACACGCAACACTGACGTTCCTAACTCGGGCTCGGACGCGTCAATCAACGTTCCAAGTGACTTATTCGAGGGCTGCCCCACCGCCGCTCCAGGGAGACACCCGCTACGTACAACGCCGACTTTCCTTGCACTGGGCGGCTCGGAGGATGGGCTGTCCCCTCCTCTCCCAGCACGGCAGCACGGGAAGGTTCCGTCCGGCACAGAGACCAGGACGGCAGCCTCGCCCCTCAGCAAGACAAGGCTTTTCCTGACTGCAAAGGGAAAATCGAACCCTGAAGGGTTCCCAGAGAAAACCATGTTTGAGAACAGACTCGTTTCCCACACAAGTACTAATAAGACGTCACCTAGGCCAGGAAGCACCTGGAAGGTTATTTTAACTCGCTCAACCGGAAACTCCACCCATGTATCTGAACCGGGGACACCCAGTGGGCACTTTCCGGGGCGCCACACCGGTGCTCCTGTGGCTTGAATTCAGCCGGGACAGAAGCCCGTCCAGACCCGCCCCCTCCAGCCCTGCTGGGTGTCAAGTCCAAGTCCGGGACGGCAGCGAGGGACAGATCAGGGCATAGTGCTCTCACGTCCCCAGATGGGACTCCTCTCGCGGTCACCTCAACAGGCAACAGTTTGCTAGCGGGTGAGGCAGGCTCGACACCGTCCCTTCCACGCCACCTCGAACCGCGCTCCCCTCTGTCTAGGTGTCCCAGGGGCTGGCAAGAATTCCCAGACGTGACCTGCTGGTGACACGATTTAGACACAGCAAATAGACTCAACTCGCAGCCCCGGGAGGGGCGACCAGACATGGCCGTTCACAAATGGAAGAGCCGACCGGAAGTTGGGTGATTCGCCCACAGCCTCTGCCTCTCCAGTCAGGTGTGGATCACGGCCCCGCCCTGGAAAGAGGCCACCCGTGCTTCAGGCCAGAGGAAACGGTCCCGCAAAGCGACAGGGTCTCTGGGGAGGGCCGGTGAGGCCAAGTGCCCCAGGAGGTGAAGGTGAAAGAGGTCTTTGCCTGTTGTTCTAGACCCACCAGGGAAACACGGCAGGGTCCTTCTGGAAGCGGCTTCATCATAGGGCCAGCACCTATGCCTGCTTCCTCACATGCTGCTGGCAGCGCCCCCGCCCCGCTCCAGCGTTTTCTGGAGTCCCCCTCTCTTTGGAAACCACAGGCAACACTGGAAACTGGGCTTGGCTTTTTAAATGTTTGTTAGTTAGTTAGTTATTAGCAATCTCTACACCCAGAAGTGGGGCTCGAACTCACAACCCTGTGACCCCAGATCAAGGGTCACACGCTGTTCCAACAGAGCCAGCCAGGCGCCCTCTTGACTCTACTTTCTAAACACAATATCCTCCCAGAAATTACTGTCCGACCTCCGCAGACCCAAAGGGAGAATCCCGTCCCCTTCCTTGCACAGGGACTCACCCCGACGGCCCGAAGGGAGAGAACAGAATGGTGACAAGGCACAGACCTTTCCTTCCGGCTGAAGGCGAAAGGCTGCTCACAGGTCTCTGTCTGAAACGCAGTGATCCAGTGAGGAATTCCCAGGCATCGGGAATGGTTCCGTCTGCAAAACGATAAAGGGGAAAAAGCTCAGCAAGACGCCTGCCGCCAGGCACCCTGGGCGGGTCGTCACGCGTGCGGACCCTTTCGGGAATCCGCGACACCCTCCCACACCTCACATGGCTTCCTGAAGAAATCCGAAAGGAGGGGGGACGGTGTGCATCCGACTAACCAAAAACCTCAGCCGGTTCTCGGACGCAGGGAGAAAATACAGAAAATAACAAGTTGCAAAAGATTTACAGCTGCAGAAAGTTTCGTCTTCGCACAAACAGAAATTCCTGCTGCAAGCGGCCAGCCTGCCGTTTCTGCTCCTTCTAAATGAGGACGTTGCTAAGAATAAGAGCCTCTGACTGAGAGTTAAAAAAATAAGTAACACAAGAGGGTCCCTGCGGGGCTCAACTGGTGAAGCACCCGACTCCGGCCCAGGTCACGATCTCGAAGTTCGAGAGTTCGAGCAGCGCGTCGCGTTCTGTGCTGACGGTACGGAGCCTGGAGCTGCTTCGGGTTCTCTCTCTCCCCCCGCGCCCCCCCCCGACCCCTCTCTCTCTCTGCCCCTCCCCCGCTCCCACTCTGTCTCCCTCTCCCAAAACTAAATCAACATTAAAAAATACAGAAATAACCTAAAGAAACCTCTCTGAAGGGCCCATGACATGGCTGGGACACAAACACAGCCCAGGGACGAGAAGCGGGGCGGCGCGGGGAGAGGCAGGCTGAGCTTCTAATGGACGGAAACGGTGACCGCGCAAAGCTCACGACTCCAGTTCATCAAGCCGCCGACTCCCCACCTTCGCCCGAAAACGACAGGGCAGTGCTGGGGGCGCCGCGGGACGCTAGGGAGCAGAGGCCACGGCGCCCTCGCTCCCTGGAAAGCGGCCGGTGCCCAGCGCGCGCCGCTGACCTCCCTGCGGCTGCCACACACCAGGGACCGCGCGGAGGCTCGGCCAGCCTTCCCCACGCTCCAGCTGCTGCCGCGTTCCCGACCCTACCATTCAGCCTCCTCTCTCCTCACCCCTCTGCACAGCCTAACTTCTCCAGGCTGTTCCGCACCCGCCAGGTACTGACGTTGTTCCTGTAATTGGCAAGCATCTAGAAAACTCCACGAGACAGTGGAGGATCTCCAACAATTTATTACCCCCCCATTCTAAATTACAAAAACAACAACACACACAGCACAAGGATAACTGCTTGCAAATATAAAAGCCTGGGTGTTTTTTTGGACCCAAAGATAATGCCTTTGGCCCCTTACCTCACACTGGCCACAAAAACCGGTCAAAGATCTAAAATTTAAGCTTAAACTATTAAACTCTCCCGAGGAAACACAGGAATAGATTCTCATAATCTCCAAACTGCCAACAGTCCTCAGATGGGAGCCTAGAGCACAAAGACCAAGAGGCAAGAACGGATACAATGGCCGAAATCTGAAACTCTGGGCTTCAGAGGCCGCTATCCAGAGAGCGAGCACAAGTCACAGAGCGGGGGGGACTCTTTCCCAGTCCCACGGCCAAAACAAACAAGGAGCCCCTGCAACTCTGTTAATCTAAAGGACAAGGAACCACACCGCAAGACGGGGAAGGGCCTGAACGCACATTTCCCCGGAGATCCGTCGGTGACGACTAAGCTCACCCAAGATCCTCGGGATCGTTAACCATCAAGTGCAACTCAAGACGCAGCAGGAACCCAGCCTCTCATTCCAGGATGGCTGAAATCGAAGAGACAGACAGACAGGTGTGAGGGGGTGTGGGGAAATCGGAACCCCCGGACCCTGCTGCTGGGGAAGTAAAGTGAGGAAGAGCTTGGCAGGTCCTCAAAAGGTTAACCAGTTACCACCTGACCCAGGGGCTCCGACGCCCAGAGACAGACCCGAGAGAAACGAAAACTTGCGTCCACACGACAGCCTGCGCGGGAATGCGCACAGTATCCTTCAGGGTAGCCAGAAAGCAAACCCGATGCCCACGCCCGTGTTACGTAACCGGTCCGTGTGGCCGCTCGGACGAAAACGCAGGAGTGAAGCCCAAGACCCTGCTACACGAATGATTCTCGAAGACACGCTAAGCCGAAGCAGCCAGACAGCAAAAGACTGTGTATCATACAGTCCCCCGTACATACAACGTCCAGAACTAGCAAGTCTACGCAGACAAAAACAGATGCAGGGTTGCCTGACACTGGAGGGAAGGTCACAAGGATTCTTTCTGACGTGCTAAATGACCCTAAAACCATCATGCCAACGGCTGCACAACTCTGTGAATACACTAGAAAACTATTTAATTGAAGCCTTTAAAATTTTTTAGTATTTTTTTATTTTTTATTTGGGAGACAGAGCGTGAGCAGGGGAGGGGCAGAGAGCGAGGGAGACAGAGAATCCAAAGCAGCTCCAGACTCCAAGCTGTCAGCACAGAGCCCGACGCAGGGCTCGAACCCACAAACCGTGAGATCGTGACCTGAGCCCAAGTCAGATGCTCAACCTACTCAGCCCCCAGGTAGGTGCCCCTTAACCCCTTTAAATGGGTGAATCATATGAATTGTATCTCAATGAAACTGCTACTAATGAAACATTGTTCACCATTAACAGACCTTCGTCACGTGTGTACACACGTACACGTGCACACCAACATGGCATCAGTGTGAAGGGCTTGTACTGCCACATAGAGTGGGAAACTCTATAGGACAAAGTTTTAGACGGTGGCATAGAATTCCCTTTCCATCAACCTCATTACCTGCTCTGCAGCAGAGAAGGGGAGAGCGAGAAGGCATCTGAGCAGGCAAAACAGTGGTCTCGGCGGGGGGGGGGGGGGTCCCCAGGCTCTGTGCACTCTCCTCTGCTCAGAGCACCAGCGCGCACGCTCACAAGGTGAAGGCCAGGGCCTGTGCCCAAGTCCACCTGCGGCTGGCACAGGGCAATACAGGGCAGGGCCGCTCCCACGACTGACTCACCCGCTCAACCACGCCCTTTCTGAGCACCTTACCTGTGCTGCACGGCACCCACCAAAGTCTGAGTCACCTCTTATGCTCTCTTAAAAGCGTTTTACTATTTAAAATTTTTTTGTTTGTATGTTTCATGTATTTTTGAGACAAAGACAGAGCACGAGTGGGGGAGGGGCAGAGAGAGAGAGGGAGACACAGAATCCGAAGCAGGGTCCAGGCTCTGAGCTGTCAGCACAGACCCGACGCGGGGCTGGAACCCACCAACTGTGAGATCATGACCCAAGTCGAGGTCGGACGCTTTACCGACAGAGCCACCGAGGCGCCCCTTAAAAGTGTTTTAAAGATAAGCCTGTCCAAATGCTTCCACTACCAGGCAAAGGCTGTAGTGACCGGGAGACCTAGTGTCCAAAACAGGTCAGCATCCCCCTCCCCCTTTATTCTTGGGTCCAAAAGTGGCCTTTAGGACTCTTCCTGCTCCTTCTGGATCTGGGAGCGCTTTTTTAAGAGAGAGAGAAGGGGGGGGAGAGACAGAGAGAGAGAGAGGCTGGGGCAGTGACTCAACACGCGGTCAGATGGGGGCAGGGACAGGAGGGGCCTGCTGGGCAGAACCCAGGGGGTTAACCGCTGCCGGCGCGGGGCGCCCGCAGGCGGGGCCGGGAGGCCGCCTCCAGGGCTGCGCTCAGCGGAAAACGGCATTCCTCCCCGGGATGGCGAGAGGCCGGGTGCCAGCCCGAGGAAGCCCGGTCCCCTCCTCCCGCGACCCTCCGGCGGGGCGGCCGCGCGCCCGCAACATGGACGAGATGGCACCGGAACAAGCCGCAAGCCCGAAAGCTCCTTTCTGGCGACTCCCCACGTACCCGGAGGAGGGGCCGCTCCTCACCCGGAGCCTCTCGGCCAGCCGCGGGGGCGCGAGTGCTGCTCTCCCGCTGACCTGACTGCACCGCCTCTGGATGGGGCGGCTGCGGGGGGACCCCGGCCCTCGGACCCCCCCGCCACCCCCCGCCCTCCGGCCCCGGACCTTCCCCCACCCCGATTCTCGCCCCTCGGACCCCGGCCCCCTCCCCACCCGTTCCAGCCCCTCCGACCCCCGTTCCCTCCCGGCAGGGCCCCTCTCCCACCCGATCCCGCTCGGCCCCCTGGCCCCTCCCCCAGCCCCTGGCACCGAGCCCCCCACCGCCGTCGGACCCTCCCGTCCCCCGGCCTGTCCGCAGCCTCGACCCCCACCTCAGCCCTCAGCCCCCCGCCCGACCCCGGCCCGGGGACGCCTCGCCCGCGCTCCCCCCGCGCCCGAAACCGCGAGCGGAAGAGCGGCGAGACCGCAGCGACCGCCGCTTCCTTCCCGTCCCCGGGCTGGCGGCGCCCGAGGAGCCCGTCGGAGAAGCCAGCCGCCCCCGCCCCGTCCGGGGCAGGCCGCGCTCGCTCACCGCCGCCTGCGCCCCCTCCGGCCCGGCCCGGGTCGCTCCCGGCCCCGCCGCGCCCGCTGCTCCCGGCGCCCGGCCCCACTTCCGGTTCCGCGGCGGGGGAGGCGGGGCCGCATCCGGGTCCCGGCGAGGCCCCGCCCCGCGCCCCCGGGGCCGCCGCGGACCCCGCGGCCGGGAGCGGCCTCCCGCGCCCACGTGGCCGGGGCCGCGCCCTCCGCCGGCGCCGGCGCGAGCTCCGCCCGGGTGCGGGGCGCGAACACACCTGGGCACGGAGGGCACTGGGCACGGAGTCGGTGCAGCGGCGCGCCCCTCGGGCTGCGCCCGGGTGCGGACGCGCCGACGCCTCCCGGTGCTCCCTGCTGCCCGGGCGCAAGGACGGGAGAGGGAGCCGGGCCGGGCCGGGGAGGAGCGTCTTCGTCCGTCCCCGCCCCCTCCCACCATCCGTCCGTCATCCATCCATCCACTCACCCCTCCGCGCGTCCGTCTACCGCCCTTCATTTGTCCACCCACCCCTCCATCCAGCCACTCATCTCCGCCTCCATCGGACATCTGTCACCCATCCAAACACCCACCCAGCCACGCACCCACCCTCCATTCCTGTACCCATCCATCCATCCGTCCAAGAGACCTCGTCCATCATCCACCACCGTCCACCCTCCACGTATCCACCTGCCCGGCCGCCCTGCATTCGTCCACTCACCCGCCCATCCCGCATCTCCCCATCCAGCACACATCTATCATCCGTCCATCCACGCACCACTTATCCACCCATCTATGCACCCACCCTTCATTGGTCACCTACATCTTCCATCCACGAACCTGTCCATCCAGAGAAGGCCACATATGTATCAAGAGAAGTTCTGCAGAATAAACATGGACCTTGCCCTCAGGGACTTGCAGTCGAGAAAGGAAGTCAGGCATAATCACACAGATGTAGAATTAGGGAGCAGGATAAATACTATAAATTAGAAGGCAAAGGTGTTGTGAAATTATATTGGAGAGAAGGTGGAACCTGAACTCACCCAGGAGAACAGAGAAGGATTCTCTGAGCAATTAACATTTGGACCAAAATCTGAAGACCAAGTAGAAGTAAGGGGGGGAAGAGGGAAGAATTTTCCAGGCAGAAAATACACTATGTGCAAAGGCCCTGAGGCAGACGAACTGAAGAAAGTTCAGTGTGGCAGAAGCAGGGCAGTGGGGTAAGATGAAGCCAGGTCAGGCAGAGGTTGGCGGGGCACACAAGGACCTTGATCTTTATTCTAAAATAAACGGGAAGTCCTTAGAGGAAGTTAAGGACAGAGAAGAGACGTCGTCGAGTGTGAATTATAATGAGATCCCTCTGGCTGCCTTGTGGGGAACGGATGGGAAGAGGGCCAGGTAGGAGCCGGTACAGCCGGCTCAGGCAAACTGGTGGTAGCGGGCCAGGTGGGGAGAAGGGAGCAGATAAAGAGACATTTGGAAAGTTAAATTGTCAAGTCTGAGGGAGGATTGGGGGAGGGGAAGGATATGTCATCTGTCAAAGGCTAATTTGCTGATGAAAATAGCCACATATACGTGGCCTGAATGCACGTCAAAAATTTCCAAGTCCGACTTGGACGTCCAAGCGGGGACGGAAGGGCCCTCCCGGGGAGGCGGGGGGTGCCGGCGGGGCTGCACCCCGGGGACCAAGGGCCGGGACCGAGGACCCCAACACCTGCCCCCAGTGCGCGGGCCACAGGGGAGAGCAGCGCGAGCCTGCCTGCGGCCCTCCTGGTGCCTTCCAGCCTCCGGTGGCCGCGCCACGCCCTCTGCCTCGGGTGCACGTGACGGCCCGTTGGCCACTGGCCCGACTCCCGCTGCCTGCCTCCCACAGGCCCTGTGGGCCTTCGCCGAAGCGCAGCTTTGCCATATGCGGTGACATCCAGGAACAAGGGGGTACGCCGTGCGCTTACCTTCTTAAAAAATTTTTTAAAGATTTTATTTTCAAGTAATCTCTCTGCCCAATGTGGGGCTCGAACTCACAACCCCGAGATCAAGCGTGCCATGCTCCACCGACTGAGCCCGCCAGATGCCCCTGGACTTCCCTTTTTGGAGGCCCCATGAAAATGTTTTTATTTTAAAATCAGAAGGAAAAGAAAGAACTAAGACAATGTATGGAGTTACTATGTTCTTCTTTATACCAACACATTTGTAAAACTAAAATCCTCCCCTCCTCCCCCGCCCCGTCCCCGGTCGAAGGAGCCCACAAAGTGCATAGGGCTCGGGAAAATCGGGATTCGAACCAGTTCACCATGAATCCAAATCTAACGGCCACATGATTAAAAAGACAGGTAATTAAAAGGTTCCAGGTAATTTTCTGCCTGAGTGACTGGGAAGGAGGAGGGTCTGGTAGCTACACGGGGAAGTCAGAACCGGGAACGGGGGCTAACACTGGGCACCAGCCTGGCTTTACCAGGGACCATTGTGAGATTTAAAAAATATGTAGACAGGATGTTTCATTTTCCCCCAAAACAGCTTTGTGAGTTGAAAATTGTTTTTTGGTTTTTTTTTAAGAGCAGTTTTATTGAGGGGCGCCTGGGTGGCTCAGTCGGTTGGGCAGCCAACTTCGGCTCAGGTCATGATCTCACGGTTCGTGGGTTCGAGCCCTGCGTCGGGATCTGTGCTGACAGCTCAGAGCCTGGAGACTGATTCGGATTCTGTGTCTCCCTCTCTCTCTGACCCTCCCCTGCTCACGCTGTCTCTCTCAGAAATAAATAAAACGTTAAAAAAAGCAGTTTTGTTGAAATACAATTACATTAAATACATTCACTTAAAATGTACAACTCAGTGGGTTTTTAAAACTTTTTTAAAGTTTTTTTAAAAGTTTTTATTTAAAGTTAACATCCAGTGCAATAGTAGTTTCAGGTGTACCACAGAGTGACTCATCACCTACGTAGAACACCGAGTTCTCATCCCAAGTACCCTCTTTAATCTCCCCTTACCCAGTTAGCCCATCTCTGACCCACCTCCCTCTGTCAACCCTCAGTTTATTCTCGATAGTTAAGGGTCTGTTTCTTGGTGTCTCACTCTCTCTCTTTCCCCCTTTGCTTATTTGTTTCTTTTTCTTAAATTCCACATATGAGTGAAATCATATGGTATTTGCCTTTCTTTGACTTATTTCACTTAGCATAATACACTCTATCTCCATCCACGTTGTTCAAAATGGCAGGATTTCATTCTTTTTACGACTGGATAATATTCCACTGTATATACAACACGTCCATCAGTCGATGGACACCTGAGTTGCTTCCATATCTTGGCCATTGTATATGGCGCTGCAATAAACATAGGGTGCATGTATGTATCCCTGTGAATTAGTGCTTTTGTGTGTTTGGGTAAATACCCACTAACATGATTGCTAGATCGGAGGGTAGTTCTTTCTTTTTTTTTTTTTTAATGTTTTATTTATTTCTGAGAGAGAGAGAGAGGGAGAGAGAGAGGGAGACACAGAATCCGAAGCAGCTCCAGGCTCCGAGCTGTCAGCACAGAGCCCGACGTGGGGCTCGAACCCATGAACCGTGAGATCATGACCTGAGCCGAAATCGGACGCTTAACCGACTGAGCCCCCCAGGGGGCCCGATCAGAGGGTAGTTCTATTTCTAACTCTCTGAGGACCCTCCATACCGTTTTTTCAGAGTGGCTGCACGAGTCTGCATTCCCACCCGCCCCTGTTGTTTCTTGTGTTGTTGAGTTTAGCCATTGTGACAGGTGTGAGGTGACATCTCACCGTGGCTTTGCCTTGTCTTTCCCTGGTAATGAGTGATGTTGAGCATCTTTTCATGTGTCTGTTGGCCACGTGTATGGCTTTGGAGATGTGCCTGGCCAAGTCTTCCGCACATCTTGTAATTGGATTATTTGGTTTTGGGGTGTTGAGTCTTAGGAGTTCTTCATATATTTTTAAAAATTTTTTAATGTTTTATTTATTTCTGAGAGAGAGAGAGAGAGAGAGAGAGAGAGACAGCGTGAGCAGGGGAGGGTCAGAGAGAGAGGGAGTCACAGAATCTGAATCAGGCTCCAGGCTCTGAGCTGTCAGCACAGAGCCCGACGTGGGGCTCAAACTCATGAACCGTGAGATCATGACCTGAGCTGAAGTTGGAGGCTTCACCGACTGAGCCCCCCAGGTGCCCCTCTTCATGTATTTTAAACACCCTCCACCAGATATGTCATTTGCAAATATCTTCTATTCTCTAGGCTGCCTTTGCATTGGGCTGATTATTTCCTTTCGCTGTGCAGAAGCTCTTTATCTTGAGGAAGTCCCAGGATATTTTTGCTGCAATTCCGTAGTTTTTAGTATAGTCACAGGCTGATACGACCATGACCACAGCAGAATTTTCGAACATTTTCATCCCCAAAAGAAACCTGCTCCTTAGCAGTCACTCCCTGTTCCCCCCGCTCCCCACCCTCGAAGGCCGCTCCTTCCCTACTTCCCCTCCGTGACCCGGTATCACTGCTTCCGGATGAGGACAACCAAGGCTTCAGGACAGTGCCCGCCCGGCAGCAGCGCGTGTGGCAGGGCCCGCCTGGCTACTTGGCAGCGGCAGATACAACGTCGATTTGAAACGCAGAAAGGTGCCCTGCGCAGAAACGCGTTGAGCGTCTCCCAGGCCCAGAAACGAAGAGAAGCCCGAAGTGCTGAGTGGGGCTGAAGCCGCGTGCCTGCTGGGCCCTCACCCCCACCCTCATCCCCACCCCCCTTCCCCGGGCCCTTACAAGAAGACTGGAAAGGCCACCGCGGCCGGCTGAGGGGGAAGGGCACCCGGTACCTGCACCACCGCGAAGGCCCAATGCCTCCGAGTGTGTGGCGGAGACCGGAGCTGTGACCGGTCCCCCCCCCCCCCCCAGCCCCTGCTGCCCTTCTTCCCTACCAACTGGGCACATGGATGCCCAGCTACAGGCTGCCCCTTGGCTTCGCTTAGAAATGGGGGCCGCCGTGTAACCGGCTGCTCACTGGTTGGGGCGGCGCGTTCCGGGCCCGGCCCGTGGGCTGGCACGGCGCCAGAGGTGGGTCAGTTTCCTCTTGCTGCTGCGGCAAATTAGGACCAATGTAGCAGCTAAAAAAAAAACACACACACACAAAAAAAAACCAAAAGAAAACAACCCCAATTTCTTCTCCTAGAGTTCTGGGGTCCAGAGGTCTGAAAGCAGTGTCTGGGCCCAAGCCAAGTGCGGCCTGCGCTGGGCGTCCCGGACACCGAGGGAAGGAGCCGCTTCTGCCCTTCGGCCTCCTGAAGGCGGCCTGCAAGCCTCGCCTCGCTCCGACCGAAGCCTCTGTTGTCACATCTACGCCTCCTCGTAGTGACGCCTCTCACTGGCCCCCGTTCCAGGGCCACCTGTG